GCACCGCGGTATCGAATTTTTCAAGGAATGAATTATTTGTCCAGATGAAATGGTTTTGAATGACAATAGTTGTTTGAAATAATTGGTGGCTAAGTACCGTTTATTTTCGTATTTTTTATGAGCGCTTCCAAAGATTTGATAATTATTTGTCGGTCGGTAGTATAGAATGAAATATTTTAAAACGGACCCTGTAACGCTCCTTTTAAAAAATGAAATTTTGAAACATTATCTAACTCGGTATTTTCATGAATTAGTGAATTGAATGTTTCATAAAATAATGGCCATTGTTGAATATCTCCTGAGAATTTAGGTACTTCAATGGACGGTAAATGTTGTTTGGGTACATGTCTTAATTGAAGAACTATGCGCATTTTTATTATCTAATAATTCTCAGCGTGTTTTATTTTGGGCATACATCGTTTCAAGGGCCTTTATTGCGGAATATTCCGGAATGAAACTAGGATTATCTAAATATTTAATTTGTTTATTTCATCGCACAATTGAATAAATGTTCACGAGCATTTTCAGTAATATATACATTTTCAAGAAATTGTGTCTTATTTGAAGATACATCAATCTGTTGCGATAGATCGTACGTTTCTTGCACAATTGAAAAGTACATCTCTCTCTTGGCGGTTAAACGTGCGATTTCTGCACCAATATCGATTTTAGGACGCCATTATATATTTTGTTTTCTGTATACACCCAATTAATCCTAATAATAATTAGGATCCGGCTCGAAGGACCAAATGTTGATGTTGGGGGGTTTCTCACCCCTTTCGAAGTATTTATACTTCGAGGAAAAATAAAAAAATTAAATGTATTCAGAAAACAAAAACCAATGGTAAACAAATATAAATTAAAAATAAAATTCTTCTTACTCCGTAATCAATAATAAACTAAAATATTCTATATAAATTTTATATGAATGAAAAAACAAAAAATGAACACTAATTAATATTGTATGAAAATGTTATCTGTTTTGGAGTCCAAGCCGCGGCAGCTATTTGGTTGGATCTGGAAAAATCGCGTAGTCGGTTGGATAGGTTGAAAAGAAATTCGAATACACTGACAAATAAAAATAACTGTTGACTTGACACACAATAGAAATTTAATCCACTGATAATATTGAACTGATAACAAACACTGAAAGGAACTGAATGTATTGATTGCAAGTAACTGAATGAATGAATTAAACCAAAATGAATGAAAACCACGGAATAAATCAACTCGAACACTGTAAGGAACTGAAAGTAACTGAACGAATGAAAGGCGCGGAATGAATTGATTTGAATGCCAAAAACTATGCCATGCATCGGCCTTTTTGTCTTTTATGAGACTTATATGCCTGATGCACATTTGATTACGCCTTGATTAAGTACAAAGTTTCAGAGAGAAACACAACCTTTCACAACGAGCATACAACCTTTGGCGGTGACTTAACAGGATATTGTGAATAATTTTCATTAATATTCTTTTTGTAATATGTATAATTTTTGATATGTTGTAATAATTATATTTTTGATATGTGATCTAAAATAGTTGAAGGCAAAGAAATGTATATATATATATATATATATATATATATATACATACATACATATATATAATGAAATATTTGCATTTATTGGTGTGTATATAGTCATTAACCTCGCCGAGGTTGAGAATAACCTCGATAATAAGGGTTTAGGAATAGGAGGTCAGAGATCAAACGTGGCTGAAATATCTTATAAATTACAAACTAATACATACACATTTATATATATATATATATATATATATATATATATATCCCTTGGGTAAAACGTAGGAAACTTAAAACTTTAGGCACGTCTTACAATTTCGCCAAACTGCTTACGAAATGTCGTCTCATATGACACTTTATACGCCAAATCCAAATTATTATAAATTCCACACATGAGTATTCCACATGATTTGACTATTGGCGAGTTGTAAAAATTTATTCATTTCTCCATGATAAGTAGAAAAGAGGCATTTCTTAGTTTTATGTTTAGAAGTTGAAAAAAAAAATCAATCCTTTATTGTATTTTATTTTTTTAATATGTTAGTTTAGTTTTCATTTAGCTTTATATCGCTCGCGTGAGTATTTGATATGCGATAATTATTGGAATGCGTTTTTTTGCAAATTATTATTGTTTATAAAAAATATATACAATATTTGTTCAAGGGCGACCGCATATGTTATTTTACATATGCATATATATCGTTGATAAACGAATTTGCATAATTATGCATTATATATATATATATATATATATATATATGTATATATATAAATTAAATATATAATAATATTAATAATTCGAGAATGAAATAACAATAAAACGAGAATGAAATAACAATAAAACAAAAAGTATATATGCTCTACGTTTCGACACCACATACGTGTCATCATTTAGCAGTTGCTAAATTAATTACAATATTTAAAAAAAAATTTAAAAAAAGTATTTAAACTTGTTTTTTAAATACAAACTATAAAATAAAAGTGAATATTAGCATTTATTCACAAAAGAAAAATGCATGTTTTTTTTAGTGAAACCAATTTTTTAATTTAGGTTTCAAGCTAGAATTGGCAAAAGAGTGCATTTTTATCAAAATTAGACCTTATTACTTTTGTAAAACGATCAGCCGAGCAGTTTTTTTTACAATTAGCATGTGAGTGATAAAAACTCGTCCATATACGCCAAAAACCGTGCATAGATTTTAAAAACTCTAAAACTAATCGAAATGATTTCTAGCTGATAAGAGTTTTTGAATTTTCAAAATCGGTTCATAAACTTTATCAAAAACTTTGACGAATATTTTTGCAGTTATCTGTTAATTCTAAAAAAACGGCTCGACCGAAAGTCAGACAAAACTAATCAGCACAAGTCCTCATTAAATATCATCAATTTTTTTAAATCGGGTCAACCGTTTGTAAAAAAAAACTCGACGAAAGTCAAATTTGGCTCACACACATATTTTTTCCAATCTCGATGCCAAACGATTCAGAATGACTTGAAAGGTCGATCAAATCTAAAATTGAACTAATTATTTCAATCTATAACCGTTGTGCCATCTATATGGAAAGCTCTGTGTTATTTATTTTATATTAAAACCGTACGCAAAACTGGTTCAAGAGATTTTTATTTGTTTATGCAGAAATATGCATAGTAATATAATAAATTATTATAGTAACTCATTATTTTATAGAAGAGAATGTTTATAACAGTATATATATATATATATATATATATATATATAATAAAAAACTAAATACAGGTTTAACTCGATTCAAGCAAGATAGTATGTTGTTGATATAACTGTATCACATATTACATCTTATTTTCTTACTTCGTTCAAAGGTTTTTGTAAATTTTCATAAATGTTACTTCAATATAAAATGATGATAAATAAAAATTATTTATACTGTTGCATAAAATTAAAGCAAAAAATCATCAGAATTTTTCATCGAGAAAATAATTGAGAGAAAATAATTAAATACAGAATTTGCACAAAAGTTCAATGCTCCAAAAATTTTAAATTCAAATAGTATTACAAAATTCAAAATGGATTATTAAATTCTTGTGTAAAAATCTTATCTCATATGAGAAATATATATAAAAATAATAATTAATCTTGCTGAGTCACACTTAGTTTTTTTTATATAATACCTATTATTTTCAAATAGAAATGTTCATTGAAAACAAAATTAGAGTTTAATGATTTTCTTTTTAAATAAGCTTAATAATTTTACTAGTTCGTTAATTTGCAAATTTCTTAGATAGCAATCGATCAAATGTATATATAAAAATCTATGTATTTATTTATTTATTAAGCATAATCAACATTAATAAATATTACTTTAAGAAAAAGTTCTAAATAAATTATATGCATTAATAATTTCTTTGCCCAAAATAAAATTGAAGCAACTTATTAAAAACTTCTATTGAATCTTGCAAAAATTGATTTAGAAAAATTGAATAAATTTTTTTGTTTATAAAACATCCATTAGTTCATAATTATATTTTGTATCTTACGATATTTTAAATTTAAAATAACTGTTAAACAAATGTTTGTTTATAAAACTTCAATTATCATATAGAAAGAAAGAAGAATTAAATTGAATATTAGGAATTTATATATAAATATATATTACCTACAAAGGCAATATAAATACAAATCACAAGAAACAGATTGAGAAATGTTCAAATTTATGTAATTTAAATTCATTAATGTTAATAATATAATTATGTTATTAACATTAACAAAATATTTTATTACATATATATATAGAAGACATATTAAACTACAATATATTTTGGAATATCCTAGTACGAATAGAACTAGTTTAATGATTTTTTGAAAATGATTTTCACAAATTAACTTTTTTGATAACAATTTAATGTTGATTAAATAATTTATATATATATACATAGTTAAATAACTGAAACTATCGTTGATATAATAAATATGTAAATGTGTATATAAAACATGTAGATATAAACACACATAAAATATAAATCAATAGTTGTATAAAGATATACATATATAAATAAATTATAAATATATATTTGTTATATAATATATATATATATATATATATATATATTATAATGCTTTGATTTCATTTCATATACATATACAGAAGCCGATACATATAAACAAAATTCTATAAACAAATTGAACCAATTGTTTTATAAACAACATTCAAGCTTTATCTTAATTATTACAGAATAAGTGTATATACACAATTTAAATATTTATGCTATTTTGATAAACAAACAGCTCTTGATAAATATATGTATATCATACGATCAAATCTGTTTTTATTATTAAAACACAATCTATTATCAAATTGTGTAAATCCTAACCCCAATTTTTAAAACAATTTTGGGAAAACTAATTCTCAAAAATACAAATAAGTGTAAAATCAAAGCATTATTTATAAATAATATATATTTATAATCAATAGTAAATAAATCATCAGAGAATCTCACCAGTTTTTGCTGAGACAATTAAATTTTCCTTTGCACAAACTTTATTCATTGATAAAACTATAATTTAATGTTTATATTAGCACCACTGTTTGTTTTATTGATATGGATCATATAATTTAGATTGTTTAAATAAATATTTAAAGCGTTGTGGTTAATTAAATTTAGGCTATTTACTTTTTGACAACTTCAACAAAACTGTATAATTTATATACAAGCAAAGAAAATGACAGCTCGAAGGCGTAATGGCGTTTGCCAACCTTACAGGCGGGAAATTTGAATTTGAATTTTAATTAACAAATGTAAAAAAAATAATAATTTATATATAAAATTGAACAGATTAAATAAATATTGATAAATGAATATACAACTACTGAAGATAATTCAGAAATAGATGAAATGATATTGTAAATATTTCAGAAAGGGTTTTGTACCATAATATCTAATAAAATATAAGAGTGTGAATTATGAGTTGGGAAAACTTTATAGAGTGTTAATAAGATTTATATATAAATATTGTAAAATATGTATCTTATCATTGATAACAATAAACTTAAAACCTGCTTTACTAAATTTAAATAGTTGTTTTTCATTATTGATGATCATTTATTTACATTTAAATTCTTTGTCAAAATGGATAAACTGTGAAACCCATGCTCAAAAAATTATTAAAATATTTCAATTCATTTAAAAATGTTGTGGGGTTTAGTATATTATAGTTTAATATGTCTACTATAACAACAAATACAAAAATTGATATGTTTCCTCACAAGTATTTAAGATAAATAAATATATTGTAAAAGAATGCATGAAAGGCCTATATGAAGATTACGAGTTAATAGGAAGAATTTACAAATTTGTTGAAAATATTTGTGGTTGTTATGCAAAAGTGCACTTTAAATATGTTATATTTTATTATGTCTAAAACGAATACTAAAATCAACATAGTTTCTCCCAAAAGTGTGAGATGAATAAAATTATAATAAGTATCCCAACGTTTCAAATATTACAATTTGTTTGAAGATGCATATTCAAAAATATATTAAAATATTTCTATTCATCCTAGAATATTGCTATGTTGTCTTCTATGATAATGACAAATACTAAATTCGATATACTTCCTCACAAAAATTTCAAATAATGAGATAAAAAAATAAAAAAAGCACCATGTCTCAGAGTGAAATGGTTAATTTGTGAAAATCATTAATATTTCATACCTTGTTAATGTTGTCTTGAAATTTTCTTTGTGTTAATTCCATATCTTTGAATATGTATAAAAATAACAGCAATAATAATTTTTCTCTGTACTGATGTGTAGTTAGTTGCTGTGTCGCTTTCCGATCATGAATCCCATTTCTTATGCCATTGATTTTATGATAAATTGTTTCTTTTATAAATTTGTATTGAAACCTAGATAAACATAACTTCATTAGCAAAGCAATGTGGTTGTAGCAAAATTTCAGGTATACATTCAATTATCGGAACCAAAACTTAAGCATTTTATTATTCAATTAATCGTTGGTATACGCTTTGAAGCTTGATAAGAGTTGTATATAGTACTATATATACAAATAATTTAAAAATATAATAAATAAAAATAATAAATAAAATTTTGTAAATACTTATGACAAATCCTATGAAACAATACAATAATAAAAGAGAAAATAATATGAAAAGGATATGAACATGTTAAATTCCAAGAATAAACTCATTTCTATATTTTTTATAGTTTTAATTAAATTAATCATATATCTAAATTACTGAACTTTCGTTTTCATTAGGTATTTTCATTTATTATTATTATTATATTTATTATGTAGGGTATGACTTATTTAAAAATAAATAAGTAATAGCGTAGATATTTAAATAAAATGTTCAATATATGATTGCAATTATTCATTTTAAAAAGTAGAAAATTATTTAATATATCCAGAATATGCTCTATTGTTTATATCAAATTTAGAATATACCTCTTACTTTCCATATTATGTGTTTTAATAAATAAATCAGTGCTTTTACTTTACCTGTTGTAGATCAAAAGTGCATCGATGGATTAATAATTGTGCTTTTACTACTAATGACTGATAATTGTATATAATTGTATACATGATATTTTAGTTTTATAAAACAGCATTTTTTAATTATTGTCTAATAATATTATTCTCATCTTTTATATTCTAAATATCTCTGTAATCTATTTTTCATAGAAAAGTCTTCAAATTGTTCAAAATTTACTCTCGAACTCACTTTTTTCAACCTTGTTAGCATAATTTTAACTTGGACAATATGCAAACTGAAATTATTATTTGTATATGGCTATTATTATATTATAACAATTAATATAAATATAATTCTTATATATCTAATAATTAATTATAAAACTACTGCAATAAATTTTAACATCTTCATCAATATATCGATGAATTGAAGATTATAAATAAGTGTATATAAATTTTACTTTCAACTAAATATAGTCAGTTAGTTTACCTGTTTTTAAATATATTTTCAGCTTTTATAAATAGTATATATTTTTTATCTTTCTTTATGAAACTATCAAACTGATATGTAAGTCAAAAGATTGTCAGTAATCAATCTGCGATAAATGCAGTAATATAATTGATCGGGGCTAGATATAATATTTCAAGACATCAAGTTTATGGCTTCTTTGCAACTCTATCTATTTCCATCACATTTTTCTTGATTTAATGAAGAAATCATAATAGATTATTGTGTAAAGTATCTTCATTTTGTAGGTGATTAGCCAGTAAATGCAAATATCTTTGTTAAAACAATTTAATTATCTGTTGTACTGATTTTTATACCTCTCTAAACATTCGCTGAATGATAAATTGAAGATTATATAATAGCATATATGATTTTACTTTTTAATAAATATAAAGAGCTTGCTACCTGATTATAATCGAAACCGAAGACTTTAGGCTATCATAAAACATGTGTTTTTATAGAACATTTTTATGGAAATACCTGCATTAATTTAAGTGGATTATCATTGCACCATATAATTCTTCTTGGCCATATGTAATATAACAAAACATGAAATTTAATTCTGGAATAAAATACCCTTACCACAAATCTAATTCTGGTCACATTCCGCTTGATTTATTCATGAAATCTTATTACATTTGTGCAAATTATCTTCATGTAGTAGATAAAGTACTAGTGAATGTATATATTCTTTTTACATCATACTTCTATATCATAAATATAGAGTTTGTTTACCTGCTTATGAACATACTTTGTGCATTTATAAAATGTGTGTTCTAATGAAACTTTTGAATGAAAATACCTTGATTGATTTAAGTACATTATAATTGCACCATATATAATTCTACTTGGCAATACATAATATTAGAAAACATCAAGTTTAAGCCTGAAATAAATTATCTGAAACATCCTTACAACAAACCTATTTCTTGTCACATTCCTCTTGATTTATTCATGAAATCTCATTAGACTTGTGCAGATTATCTTCATATTGTAAATTATGTACTATAGTGAACGTATATATATCTTTTTGTATCATGCTTCTATATCATAAATATAGAGTTTGTTTACCTGCTTGTGAACATACTTTGTGCAATTATAAAATGTGTGTCTTTATAAAAAAAACATTATGGACATGCCTGGATTGATTTATGTAGATTATCGTAGCACTATATTGTTCTTCTTGGCAATATATATATAAGCAAAAATCAAGTTTATACCTAGAATAAAATTTCCTGAAACACCCTTACCACAAATCTATTTCTGATCATTTCTCTTGATTTAATCATGAAATCTTATTAGACTTGTGCAAATTATCTTCATATAGTAGATGATGTACTTGTGGGTGCAAATATCCTTTTCACAATGAGTTGTTTTTGTACTTTTGTGAATGTTATCAACACATAACCAAATTGTATTGTTGTCAGTAAGCAAAATATGCATAATATCTTCATATAAACCTAAATAAGCATAATTTGATTATATATAAATATAGTTGCTGTTATAATTAACAAAATGGAGGATGTTATTATACAGTAGCATATTGTTGCTATGCAGATGGGAAAATGCTTGAATACTTAAATATTAAGAAGTTTTCAAATGCATTATATAATAACTAACATACCTATCATATTCAGGAAGCAGATTTTAATATTGTTTACAAACGATAAGCACAAATAAACCTTTAATTTAAATAATACTTGCGGCATGCTCGTGCCATTTGCAAAAAGTACGTTGGCACTGGTTTGACACATGACCGAAAGAAATACATAATTTTTTGTAAATATAATAGTATTATAAATAGACTTTAAAAGCAATTTGTACATAAATTATAATTAAACTATAACGCGTATTTGTTAATTTATTTCTATATATATTGTTTTGCAAAAATTAAATAAGTTCGTTGTCATAATGTTGCAACTAACTTCGTGTTTGTCAATGACAACTTCATGTTCATAGATAAATAAGCAACTTCATGTTGATGTCATCTTTTCAAACCAGAAAAATGACCAGAAATTTGTGTTTAATTTTATAAATAATACGTTAAAAATTGTTTAATATAATATATCAAAGTGATTTTCTACAATAATAATGTTAACAAACTTCTGTGAATATTAGGAACCCGAGAGAAAGACTTGTGTGATACTTGTAATACTCGTGCCTGAGTTATGTGCAATTTTTTGTCAAAATTTTTTGATTTTTAAAATTAATTAGCTAAATACGTAGTTTGATACTAGCTAAATGATGTGTCTAATATGTTTTTATCTGTTTATGGTAGTTTTTGTCATTGTGTAGTTTGAAAAATTTGTCAGTCAGCTAATTTGTTGTCAGTTTGTGTCAGTGCACTGACAGTTATAAATTGTAAACGAAAAATGTTTAATTAATGGGGTGTACTGTGTTTTCATGTGTATATTGCGTATTTATCGTATCAAATATAGTGCTTTACAACATTTTTAATCAGTGACAGTGTGTGGTTTTAAAAATTTAGTTTAAATTATGTGTCTGTGCAATCCAGAGTCCTGACAGTTGTAATACTCAGTTACTAAACAAAAAGTGTTTAATTAATATGTGCAAGTGTGTTAACAAGTTTTTTGCATATTTATCAT